GTACATAAAGTGAAAATTTAGTCAAAGACAAGAAAACTGCAGAAGAAATTAGCTTATTTACACGTATCAGGCAATGCAAGCTGCCATGCGACTTCCCCTTCTGACGTCACAAGGGGAATTTCTGTATGCAAATAAGAAGCTAATGAGGAGCCTCGTTTTAAAATACACAAAAATAAAGTTGCCGTAGATTGAGTTTAAAACACATTTTTTCACTTAAAAAAATAATTCATGCTTAGAAACATAAAAAAATAATAATATTTATGTATCAATGGATAATTTTAGGCGTGAAAATAGCAGCCATTTCACAGGCACTTTAAATCCACTAAAATTAAACCCAGTGATTATGCAAATAGAAAATATTGTTTCTTAAAATTTAAAACCCAGTGACTAATCCCTGCAACATCGAATCCAGTGAAACCCAGTGAATGCCTCCCTGTACATAGCATGACTTTTTGTCCTTACACACACATCACATATCAAAGTGAGTGCGTGTGTTACTCATAGAACACGTATGGTACCCTAATAATATGTAGCAGGCAATGAGTGCAGTGTGCGAACACAACCGAATAGTTTAATGAGTTACTAAAAACAGAACTGACGTAACAATACAATGTTAAAGCATTAACTGCAGAAGCTGAGTTATTAGTTCATGCGCGATCAAGTTAAGTGGAATTCAAGATGACGCCACGCATGAGTCATGTGTCGTCGCTGAAAAAATAACCTGAAACACTATTCTAAGTTGAATTATTTTCAGCCCGCAGCTAGAAAATGATTACCGTATCATTAACAACATGCTTTATGAAGAAGCTGTCTAGCTTTCACACGAGTATTGGACATTGGGCAGTCATACTGAATCAAATTACAAAAATAATGTTCATGTTGATCTATTGGTATACTGTCTTTGTACAAAATTTAAACAGAAATGTTCATTGCATTCATGGGAAAGTAGGCATGGGTATCATGAAAAACAAAATGGCCGTCAGTCGGCCATATTTGTTTGAATCACAGAAAAAATATGACATGCAACCATATTATGATTTAGTGCTTTTACACGAGTATTGGACATTGGGCAGTCATATTGAATCAAATTACAAAAATAACGTTCATGTTGATCTATTGGTATACTGTCTTTGTACAAAATTTAAACGTTTGACGTGCACCTACAACCTAATATGTATGATCATCATACCAACTTTGATCCAAATGGTCTAGTCATCTCCGAGAAACTGCTGCGGACAAGTTTAGGTATCAGAAATAGCAAATTTTACATCCAAAATGCCAGTAGGCCTTTTTTGCTCCGATCATAAAGTAACTTGATGCGCATATGTAAGACATTATATGTTGTCTTCATGTAAAGTTTGAATGGTATCTGTCAATGGGTGTCCGAGATATAGCTCGGGACGTACATTCGTATGGATGGACAAACAGAGGGAAAGAACCCAAATTAATAGTCCCTGTTTTCGGACTTTGTCTGAACAGGGACAAAAAAAAATGGTGCCACCCACTAAACAGAAGTGCACTGTTTTCAAACTCCTAGAGTATATAGATTTCTTCCATACTCCTCCTATATATAGGTACACATGTCATTTTTATCTGTCATGTGTTTATGAAATGTGTAAGTTTTTAATGGGAACTGATTTACACCTCTCTGAGAGTATCTATTGTTTTAATATTTAAAGTTTTGACTCACAAGTACTTGCAATGCATGTAATACCATCTGAATGCAATGTAAATCCATGACTACATTCACACCTATATTCTGAGGTAGTTTGGGGTAAACACAGCTGAGAACATCCACCATTGTTAGAACCACAAACACCTATAACAAACAAAACACAAATTATATTAATTTATTTATATAGGCCAATAGTATCAGTTTAATTTACATTAATACATAAAGGTGTACATGCATTAAATTGGCAAGAAAACCAAATTTTGTTTTTTATTAATTTTTAGCCATTTGTTGTTTGCCCAATTACCAATCAAATTTTCATTAAATATTTTCAGGATCGAAATAGAAAATTGATTGTATATATATACTGTGGAATACTTTATTTTCGCTGGAATTAATTTTCGCTGAAAAGGCTTTTTGGGCGTTTTGCTTGGAATTTATTTTCACTGATTTTTTCATGAGTTTAATGTGAAATATGGGAAAAAAAGTATATTCGCTGGATTTTATTTTCACGGAATCATCCCTTCAGCGAAAATAAATTCCAAGCGAAAATAAAGTATTCTACAGTATACATGTAACATGGCGATATGAACCAAAGGTGGGTTATGGATATACTTGGTATATGGGAATAGATTGGTATTCCAAACTTTGATGCTGGTTTATTGCCATTACATTATGCCAAATTCATTTTAAATGTAATTCTGCGACAGGGAAATAACTTTAAAGCTTCAAAAAACAAGTACAAATGTGTTACACATAATACAGCACTCAAAACCTTCTACTAGGAAGCATTGTAAAATGGGCCCTGGAACTAGCATACAGCAATTATAGATAAATTGAGCAGGGAGAGCAAATTCGCACCCAAGTTTTGGCTTTGCTACGTTTGTTCAAGTAGTTTCATATTGTTTGGCAACATTGACACATGTAAAATCATCTCAATTGATGTTATTTTTAAAAACAAACAGACCCCGATTAGTACCAAACAAAGGATAACATTTTGAAGATCAACAAAACTTCTGGGTTCATGAGCAAGTAACAGCAGATGACAAACATTTTTTTTTGCATTGTCAACAGAATTACTTCTGAGCACCTACTGTGTTAATCATGTTTGGGGGCCTAATTCTAAAACTGAAAATCCATAGTATACAGAGTATTTTACCATGGCTTGCATAGTTAAAAACACACTCACGCCATATCAGAACAACATACCGTACTTGACCTTGTTAGCGCGCCCAGGGTCAGGCACTAACGTGGTCAAGTACGGAATTTGCACAATTAACTTGCTGGCATATACGATGAGTATTTAATTGATACAATTATGAATAGGCCAATATGAATATGAATACTATCTTTTTCTGAAATTATTCCATACACTCTCTGTCGCATACGACTTATTTGCCACTTCCGTGTCGCTGAGAGTGTTCTGGAGCCGTGCTGTGTCTGGGTGGAGTGTTCTAGATTTTTTTTTGGAAACTGGTTGAATAGGCGGTGGAACGCTGTAGGAGGCGGTGGAGGGTGGTGGAACATTCTAGAGATTTGTGGTGGATTCCGGACTCGTTATGTGTGCTGATGTAGTGGTCTATTTGTGGGCGGTGGGGGTGTGTATGGGGGAGTTG